ATGCCACAGAGGTCAGAAGAGGGCTTCGGATTCCCCTGGAATTGGAGTTAAGGATGGTTCATAGCTGCCATGTGGGTGCTGGAAATCCAACCCAGGTCCTCTGCAAGAGCAGCCAGTGCTTTTAACTGCTGAGCCATCTTTCCAGCCTCTGGCTAACCTATTTAATGTCACATCCTTAAAGAAGACTGCCTCCCTCTCTCCCAGGAGTTATCAGTTGCCAGTAGTTCCCTCAGCTAAGGTCGGAGCTTCATATTTACTTCCCCACTTCGATGCCAGGATTTTGTCTGGCCTGAGCTTTTGTGGGTCTTGTGCATGCTGTCACCATTGCTGTGAGTTCATAGGAGAAACTGACCATCTCACAGAGCTTTGTGGTTCCAGTGCCTTGGCATCCTCCTGAATGCCCAGGCCAGGAAACTGAGACTCAGAGGCCAGGTGACCAGTGACTAGCCTAGACCAGTGGCTGACTCTATCCAGCCCCTTTCATCTAGTTTCTCCTCTCCCGTCCTTCCTCATCCTCCATGCCCCTTCTCCCTCCTCTCTCCCCTCCTCCTCCTCCCTCCTCTTCCTCCCCCTCCCATTCTCTCCTTGTAGTGCAAGGCCCCCACCTATGTGTGACTTGCCAAGCATGTAAATTGCTAGGCTTGAGGTCTGTAAGACCTGTTGTAAAAGCAGTGTTTGGCATTTGTGCCTCTTGCAAGCATTCTGGGAGGGCTCTTGCCACCCCCAGCTTGTCTGCTCTAGGTGAAGCCCTTCTGCTTGGCCTAGTGATGCCCTTGGCAGATCAGTGTGGAATGTTCCCTCTGATAAGTACTAGAAAGGCCATCCTCCCCGGCTGTGGCAGTCAGTACTTTCTAGAACTCTGTTCGGTCCCTGCTATTCCCACTTTACAGAAAAGATCATTGAGGCCAGACAGCTGCTGAAGGGCAGACCAGCAGAGCTCAGGGATTGGCTGCTTTTTCTTAAAGGACCAGGTCTAAGGTTTTGGGCTCTCCAGACTTGAGGTCTCTGTGGCAGCCACTCTGCTATGGCAGCTACGAAGTGGTTGTAGACAGTGCTTGACAGTCAGTGTGACCTTGCCAGCCCTGTGGCCTGAGCCTCCCCATTTGCTCCCGGTTTGCTTTTTCCCTGAAATTTCCTGGCTTTGAGAATTTTGCTTAAAGTTGAAGGGAAAAAAAATAGTACTGTCTTAACTGTATCTGTAACACAGTATTTCTCCTTTTTTGGAGGGATGGTAACAATATTTCAAGTGCTCAAATTTACCCTGAACTCACCAATCCAGTCTGCAGTGTTCCCAGGCTGCTGGAGTGCTGCACTGTGTGGGGCTGTTCTTCTGGTGGCCACTAGGTGGGGGCCGTTGACAGGCATCGGCCTCTGGCTTCTGGTTGAGACCTCTACTCTCCTGAGCCACCTGCAGTGCTTTGCCCGCAAGGACACTTCCCCCGTGAACCATTAACAGCTGCAGTTCTGTCTGTCCCCATCCGGCCAGTTCACCTCGCAGCTCTGGAAGTCCTGCCCAGCTGGGCTTCTACTTCAGTGTTTAAAATACCTTCACCTGGACTAGGGAGATGGCTTAGCAGTTCACAGCACTTGCTCATCCGGAAGGCCTGAGTTCAGTTCCTAGCATTGGGCAGTTCACAGCTGCCTGTAACTCCAGCTCCAGGAGATCTGATGCTGCCTTCTGGCCTCTCTGGGAACCCACACACATGTTGCATGCATAGACACATACACATAAAGAAAGGAAAGTTAATAAAAACAAATGAAAGTAATGTTTTAAAAATCTTGATTTAGCTGTGAGAAAGTGGGACTAGGTAGTGCAGAACTTTTCCTTCAAATAAGGAGTCTGCATTTTCTTTGCTGTAGTGTAGAGAAGTTTTTGTGTGCCCTTTCTAGTCCTCCCTGAGAGGACTGAGCCCTGTGTGCCTTCTGGGGCCTGGTGTAGTGCTCACGAATGCTCGAGCTCCTCCTGTCCAGCCACCGGAGACAGAAGCAGAAGACTTGAAACAGTATCAGAAACATGGTAGATGGGCACCCTGTGTGGTGGCGTCCGCCGAGGTGGGTGTGGGGTACGTGGTCAACGGCCTGCGTGCCTACTGCTTCACAGAAGCCCTGGCCCACTGTGGTCCCTCACTCTGGCTACCCTCTGGGCCCCACATCCAGCTCCTCCCTGAGTCTTGGTAGCAAACTTCACTTCTCTCTCATTGTCTCTGTACTGGGAGTAGACCCCAGACAGCCTGGGCACAGGGTCCTCTGTGGTGCAGAGAGAGCTGGGCTCTGTGTGGGAAGTGGGGTCCTGCAGAGCCATCGGGGGTGCTCTGGTGCAGAGCCTCCATAAGCAGTGGGTAGACTGGCCAGGCGCTGTCAGGGAACTTTCACTCTCTGACCTTACCTTGCCCAGCTCTGGACAGAAGAGTGAACGGGGCCCTTTGAAGAGGGATAAACAGGAAAGCAAGTTGACAGATGGTGCTGGTGCTGGAGGGCAGAGAGAAATGCTGTGATAGGCGGCAGGGCCTGTGCAGGTGCTAGGGAGCTAGCAGAGGGCTCCAGGGGCCACACGGGGTCAAGCCCTGAGGGCAGATGCTGGAAGTGAGTGGGTCTAGACCAAGCAAAAGGGAACCACCATGGGCTCTGTCCTGCAAGAGAAAGCTGGCCTTGGTGGGGGAGCTCTGGGTTGGAGGGTGAGGGTAAGGGAAGCCCCAGAGGGCAGGTGGGAACAGGTAGGGCCTGGGTGCTGTTGCAACAGGGACAGCTAGATGGAGGAGTGCTTGGGGAGACCATGTGGAGGTCCCATATTATTCTAGCTGCCCAAAGGTGGCGGGCAGAGGGAGAGGACCTGGGGGATGCTGGTCTCTGCCTCTTGGTTGTGTAAATCCTATGTGGTCTGAGGCTACAGAGGACCAGAGGCATACCTGTGAATAAGCACCTTCTGCTCTCATCTCCACCCTGCCCCTCCTCCAGCCCGACTCCAGCTTGAGTCCACCTAGCAAAGTGGAAAGCGAAGAATTTGGTCACCAGTCCCCTCAGAGCTGCCTTTCCCTGCCCTGCAGTTACTTCGGTACCTTCCCCGTGGGCTCGTGGTGGCCTGGAGGGCGATCAGCTGTGACACACGGCGCTTTGTTTCATGGACTTGCATAAGGCTGACTAGTAGGGTGTCCAGCCAGCACAGCCTCAGCAGCCGTGTCTGTTCTTCAGGTCACTACAGCTACTCAGAGAGCCGTGTGGAGAGGGACGGCCTGATCCTCACCAGCCGTGGGCCCGGAACCAGCTTCGAGTTTGCGTTGGCCATCGTGGAAGCGCTTAATGGCAAGGAGGTGGCTGAGCAGGTGAAGGCGCCACTCGTCCTCAAAGACTAGAGCCCGAGCCTTGGCCCCAATCGAGGCCAGGCCTCAGCATGTGGCCCGCCGGTGTGTCTAGGAGCTGCTGACCCTCAGGAAGTAGTGCAGTGAAGTAGCCACCACAGGGCTGTACCTGAAGACGGTCTGTACATTTCTGAGCCTTGTTTGCAGAATAAAGAGTGTTTAGCAAGCTCCTACCTTCCTGTCTGGTGTCTTCCTGACACCACACCGTTAGCTGTTTGTGGCCCGTGACCTGAGGTTAGCTGTTTGTGGCCCATGACCTGAGGCCCCGCAGAGCCCCCGCCGAGCCCCTACCCCAGCCTGGAGGAAAGCACGAAGCAAGGCTCTGTGAGGCCAGGGCTTCTCCCTTTCCAGAAGTGCCAGCAGAGGCCGTGAGCGTTTGTCAGTCTCCCTTTCTTTGCACTGTGGAGAAGTCCTCTTAGGACTGAGCATCCTGAGGCCACCCTGCATCTGTCCACTGGAGTCAGCTCACACAGCACTCCTAAGAACATTCCACTCCCACTCAGGACTGAGACAGGACAGGCCTCAGATGCCTCTGACCACATGGCCCAGGTAGATCAGCAGGTGGATGAGGCTCGGTTTGGGTGCTGTCTGTACTGGAATAGCTAGGAAGAAGCAGGTAAAGGTGGGGCACTGGCAGCCACCTTGCCACTGAAGGATGAACACCCAGGGATGGCCCTCAGGAAGCCCTTATCCAGCTCTTGGTCAGAAAGCAAGGCAGGAGTTAGCTGTTAGAAATGAAAACGTAATTGTGCATTTTGATGAATAGTGTGAAAGAACATAGAGAATGTCAAAGAGGCTTCACGAGGTAGGGTGGGTGTGGCAGGCCTCTGAAGAAGTGACAGTCAAGGTCACACTTGAAGAAAGAGCACATATTAGGCCAGGTGCGGTGGTGCATATTGTAACCCTACTACCCAAGAGGCGAGCAAGGAGGATCCCCACAAGTTGCAGGCCAGGCAGGACTATGTGGTGAGACCTTTTCTTTGGGGGGGGGGTTGATGGGGTCTCCCTGTAGCCCCAGTCCACCTGGAACTCACTGCGTAGACTAGGCTGGCCTTGATCTCATAGAGATCCGCCTGCCTCTGCCTCCCGAGTGCTGAAATCAATCAAAGGTGTGCGGCACCACGCCTGGCATCATGGTGAGGCCCTTTCACTTCTTTTTTTGTCCAGTGAGCACTTTGTGCCAAGTCGTGTCAGTGGTCCTGGGAATGAACCAGTGAGAAATTGAAATGGGCTCTGTTCTGACAGAGCCTAGTTACAGGAAAGGGAGCAGCGAGGACACAGATGTGTCCTGTGGTAAAAACGAAGTTTCCTGCCTGACAGGGCCTCTCCGATAGGCGATCCTAGGGTAAACGGGAAGAAATCGGAGCGTGAGAGGCTGAGGTAGGGAGTACAGAGGCCCTGGGGCAGGAGCTTGGGTATGGAGGAGCTTGGGTGAGGAGAAATTGGTAAGTGGAAGCTGGAGCTGTGGTGAGCCGAGGAGCCAGTGTAGAAGACCCCGTCACCTGGCTTTGTTAAGGGCTCACTGTGTTAGGGAAGCCCACAGAGCCATAGCTGTTGCTGCTGTCAGTCCGCAGCCACCAGTGCTGAGTCAGGGTAGGCATGGCAATGGAGGGTGTTCATGGGAGGTGACACCGGTGCTGAGTCAGGGTAGGCATGGCAATGGAGGGTGTTCATGGGAGGTGACACCGGTGCTGAGTCAGGGTAGGCATGGCAATGGAGGGTGTTCATGGGAGGTGACAGGAGAAGGGCAGCAGGAGGCTGCTCTCACGTTTCTGACTTAAACAGAAGCCAAGTACAGATTCTGTTGTAGCTGATGAAGGAGACGGGAACAGGGTCAGGATGAATTCAGATTTCAGCTTGATGGATTTGAGGCACCTGTAAAATACACTTCACAAGGTAAGAAAAGCCAGGGGTGATGGCTCGCACATGTAATCCCAGCTCCCAGGAGGCTGAGACAGGAAGATCACCATGATTTTATAACCAGCCTGGGTTACATAGTTCCAGGCCAGCCTGGGCTAGGGTAAGATCCTGTCTCAAAGACAAGAAACGTGGGGCTGGAGAGATGGCTTGGCGGTTAAGAGCACTGGCTACTCTTGCAGAGGACCTGGGTTTGATTACTAGCACCTACATGGCAACTAACAACTGTCAGTAACTCCAATTCCAGGGGATCTGATGCCATCTTCTGACCTGCAGGCATTGCACACATGGGTGTAGTTACATGCAGACAAAACACACATAAAATAAACATATGGAAAGATAGGCAGACTTGTATCTCTGCCAGGCACTAACTGTGGTCTGAAAGTCATTTACTGTTGATTGTGACCATCCCCAGACCCACAAACTCTCAGCCCTTGCCTCCAAATGGTTTCCTGGAATGTTATCTATAGGGATCCTGGAAGTGGGGAGCTCTCTTCCTGTTTATACCTTGGGGCAGCAAATAGGTGACTCTGGGCAAACCAACTCTGAAACGGGACTTTGAGGGAGGATTGTATCGGCCTGTGCATCAGGAGTGCAGGCTTCTTCCCCTGCGTGTGGGGCGGAGGCCCCAGGAAGCCACTCCATCAAGCCCTTGGGTCTGGCCAGTCAGGACCTGCTAGCTCTGGGGCTGATAAGACTCAGCCCTTGGGCCTCTCTGCCTGCCCGTGCTAGTCCAGCCTGCTCCTCTCCCAGCAGGTGACTGGGGACCTGGAACTGGGGGAAGGGAGGAGGCTGTCCATAAGGGGAGGTGACCAGGTAGTGGACAGTGTCAGTCCAGGGCCACTTGGAATGACCTTCATTCTGCTCTTTTTTCTTTATGTTTTTGCCTTTTTTGTAAGAATTTGTTCATATTAGAGAGCTTGGCGGCCCCAGTGATTCACAGCCCATGCTAGGAGAGGTTGCTCAAACTCAATCCAGAAATCTAGATGTTGGCCCGGAGCACGGCTCCCTTGATGGAAACCAGGCGATGTTTGCGGGAACAAGGAACTTAAAGCCTTTAGTCTTAACCAAGGTCCAGGGTTCTGAGGGTCACTGGAGGGCAGTGAGGATCAACCCATTTTCTGGGGGTGTGAAATAGCATCCCAGGGAAGGGCTAGCCTCTCCTAGCACTCGCTGTGTGCCTGGCACCCAAGGTTAGGCCAGTTCTATTGAGAATGGCCTTTCTGCAGGCATTTTCTCCCAACACACAATTCTCCTGCCTTACCCCTGAGCACTGGGATCATAGGCTTGCCCTGCCAAACTTGACTTTTCACACTTTGGAGCTTGGTATGTACATCATACACTTCTTCCCCTCTTGGCCTTTTCACTTATTAAAACCTAGAGGTGGGGCTGGAGGTGCAGCTCAGTTGGTAGAGAACTTGCCTAGCATGTGCACAGCCCAGGTTTGATCCCGGCATCACATCAAAAACCAGGAGGGGTGGCGCAGGGTGGCGCATGCCTGTAACCCCAGCCTTAGGAGGGAGAGGCAGGAGGATCAGGAGTTTATCCTTGATTACATAGTGAGTTTTAGGCCATCCTGAGCTACACGAAACCCTCAAAAAAGGGTGGTGAGGTGGAGAAATGACTCAGCAGTTAAGAAGGACTCGGGTTCGGTTCCCAGTACCCTCATGGCAGCTAACAGCCATCTGTAACTCCAGGGAATCCGACACCCTCTTCTGGCCTCTGTGGACTTTGCATGACATGAGCATATTACATGTGTAGGCAAAATATACACATAAAAAATAAATTTTTAAACACGTGTGTGTGTGCCTCAGCTCAGCCAGCAGCCCCTACAGAGAGCCACTGGTGCATCCACTGTGAGAAGACGACCTGTCTTCAGAGGGCAAGAACTTGTCTGTCCTCTGCCACAACAGCATCCTAAAAGCCAGAGCCATGATAAGCTTGGAAGTGCATTTCATAAACTGAAACTGTAGCCAACTGTATCATCCTGGAGCAGATCAGGCATTCTGTAGTCTAGCACCGATCCACTAAGGAGTGAGGAGAACAGTAACTTCTGAAGCTAATTCTGCAGGAGCTTCTGGGTGCTTTTAGGAAGTCTCATCTTTGTCCTTCGTGAGGGAACAGACACAGGACCTCAGCCTCTGCTGATCAGGGCTGACACACCTGTGGCCTGTGGCGTAGCCCAGCCTCTGAGCACCTGTGGGGCCAGAGAGTGAGTTATTGGGGAGGGGGTGGCTCTACCTGTCCACATGTGCACTGGCCTCCCTTTCTTGGTCCTACGTGTTCCTGGCATTGAGCCCTGAGGTGCTCTGAACAGCTTTAGGAGAGGAAAGAAGGCAAATGACAGATTCACCTTCCTCTCCATCACCACCATCTCCATCATCAGGGCTGCTATCACCACCGACCCCTCCTCCACCACCCTATCTTCATCTTCACTTCCTGCAGCTTGCAGGACCAGGTTTCAGGCTCCCAAACAAGTCCTGGGCAAGCTGCAGTCATCAGGTCAGATGCAGTCCCATGGGGCCACCTGCCCCCCGCCCCCCGCACCACCTCTTCTACCTCTTTATTTTGACTTTGCAATTTTGCATGTGATCATTTTTCTTTAAAAAAATTGTTTTGTCCCATTGTGGTGATGCATTGCAATCTCAGAGCATTGGGGAAACTGAGGCAGGAGGATTGCCATGAATTCCAGATCAGCCTAGGCCTCATAGGGAGACCCTGGCTCAAGCAAATAAAAAACTTTTTTGTTTTTGAATTCAGCTTGTTTCTAGAGGTTTTTTTAGGTGACTTAAAAATAACTTTAGAGGGGCTAAGGGTGCAGCTCCACCATGCACAGGACCATATCAGCATCACAATTAGTGTAAACTGTGTGGGTGGACATTCACTCTTAAAAAAAAATAAAGGACCTTTAGTCCCAGCAAAGGCAGAGGCAGGGGGATCTCTGAGTTCAAGGCCAGCCTGTTCTACATAGTGAGTTCCAGGACAGCTGGGACTACAGGGAGACCCTGTCTCAAAAGACAAAAAAAAAAAAATTTTTTTTAAGGGGGCTGGAGATGGCTCGGGAGAGAAGAGCATTACTGCTCTTGCACAGGCCCTGGGTTCAGTTCCCAGCACCCATACCTGGCAGCTGACAACCACCTGTAACTCCAGTTCCAGGGGATCCAATACCCTTTTCTGGCCTCTGTGGGCACCTGCAGTCCATGGTGCACATACAATACCCTCAGGCTCATATACCCATAAAATCGAATGAGTAAAT